TAGTATATAGACTCTAGATCGGGAGAACCAGAAGGTATATAAGTGCTTGCTCAGGAGAACATGCTGAATTGATATTGTCTATGCTGTCTGTCTATCCGGCTAGTCAGTTGATCTGCTCTTTTATTCGTCTGAACTTTTTGACCTGAGGAACTAAATAATCTAAAAAAAATACTAAAATACATACATAAATTTTGACTCATTTCAAAACTCATTTACACATAACATATGTATGATAACATGCATATGATAAGATATTTACGAACTAAAAATTTCACTCGATATCTAGAATCCAAGTTATTGTGGTTGAGTTTTAGGAAGAAGTACGCAGAGTAAGAAGAATGTCTGCATTTGTGTGCGTACACGTATATGTGTATGTATGTAAGTGTGTGTACATAGCTTTTCAGCAGTGAGTATTGCTATCCATGTACAAGGTATCCCCTAGTCGATCACTCCCGATTAGAACTTGCCTTGCTTTTCTACCCCATCTGAAATTTTCGCATCTTTCAGGTTATTTTTGGCCACTGCAACAGCAGCAGCAGCAGCGCACTTAGCACCATTTATAAGAACGTATATATATAGTATATATATAATATATAAATCCGATCCAGCAGACAATGTAAATCAACTGTCCGACTTCAATCAGCTTAAAAGCAAACAAAAGACAGTTTCACAGAAATTCCGCTAAAGAAAATATGAGAAATATTAAAAATAAATCAACAATGTTGATAAAGCAATCTATAAACGTGCACACAAGCACAAACAAATGTGTGAATGTCTGTTGCTGTGTGTGTGTGTGTGTGTCTGTGTGAGTATTTGTGTGCTTTTGAAATTATCATACCTCATGTTGCAGCCCTCAATGGTAGAGTTTCCCATCTTTTATGCCTAATCATGCAACGTCAGCGACGAGCCCCCAAAAATACAACAAGTTAAACACACAGTCAATCAATCAATCAGTCAATCAGTCAAGCAGTTGATTAAGAGTGATTCGAAATACGATTCAAAGTCAACATGAGGCGCTGACAAATGTTAAATATGACGAAATGAGAGAATCATCTAATAGAAATATTTTACATAAAGTTTTTTTTCTTTTTTTTGCCAATGAATAGATCAATGGAAAAAGTAATTTATTTACTATTATATTTGTAAATGTATGATTTACAATACGATTTATCTCATGTCCCATATACATAAACATTATAATAAATAATCTCTCACATAGTTGACAAATCTTCTATATATATCGAGTTGGGATTTACTAGTTAAAGTTTCTTTTAATTGTGAAAAATGAAATCGTATATACATGTATGTATTGTACTACAATGCTAGATAAGATCTAAGATAGTATGATCCAAAAATAGTGGTCAGTGGTGCAATGGAGAGTATGAAATATTTATACGTTATAAGGGGAACATTCAAACATGGGTATTTTTGTATATTCCTATATCTCTCTCAATCTATCTTTACTATTTCTAGTTGCCACGTTCTTTCTCACTCTCTCCTTTGATCTCATTTACACTTTCTCTCTTACTCGACAATAAATGATTATATATCTCTCTCTATCTCTGTTTCTAACATCTGGTTCCCTCTTTCTCTAGTTTTCACTCTTTATCACCTGCTTACCAGAGGAAATAGAAACTTGGCAATACAAAATTTAATAATATATATTATTTTTTGGAGCTAAATCAGCAGATAGAGAGATGAAGCGGATAGTTCATAAAGCCTCTACCTAATGAATCACCGATTTCCATGTACAAATCTCGAAAGTAGTAACTCAAAATATTTAGGAAATGTACATATATACGTAATGTCTCACTATACAATAATAAAAGAGAACTGCATTTGTAGACTATGAAATTGAATTGAGCATACGAAAAGGGGGGCGCCATATCGATATTGCCCACTCAAAAGACACGCGACTAAGTCGATCTGACTTGCTCAATTCCAATTCGACTTGATTATATGAAGAATCGCATTTTTTCCGATCTAGCGCCTTATATGGCTCGCTATTGGCATGGAAAGGGAAGCCCACACATGGCTCATAGCTCGTATTGAAGAATGGAGGGGGAAGGGGTATTTGGGGAACAGACATACAACAATTTGCGCAGTTGCACATTCGACTCAATATCCGTTTGAGTTGCACTCGAGTCAATATCCGATTTGAGTTGCATTCGAATCGAACGCTGCAGCAAGATTTCACAAGTTCCGCTCACAATTGCACGGCGCATTTGATTTGCCGTTATTCGCATGTTGTTGTAATCTTGCAAATAATATGTGAAATGTATGCGTTGATTCATTGGGGGCAGACGTTGTTAAAATCACGTCACCAAACGTATGCCAGGCCCCACACACACACACACACACGCATATTGAACCGTGGCCGCTGAGACACCTGGCAACAAGGGGCGAGCGTTTGGCTAGTTTTGAGACGAAATTCCACATAAAAAACTAATGACGACGCCAGCGTCGCTGCTGTGGTCTACGTGCGTGCTGGCCAGGCCTACCAAAGCTGCAACTCACATAAAGAGCTGCAACAGGCGCTGCCACCACAGCAAACGCAGAGCAGCAGCATACAAAGCACTCAAAGAGAGTGCACAAAAACAGAGAGACAGCGAGAGAGTGTGTGAGAGCGAGCGAGAGAGAAACATAGAGAGAGAGAGAGAGAGCGCCACATGTTTTAAGCTCTTAGCACGCCAGACTTTCGATCAGATGATCGACTGCCAGACCTGAATGCCCAAAATGTATGCCGGCCGGCATCTGTCGCTGTCGCTGCCGCTGCCGCTGCCGCCGTCGCAGCCGCTGTCACTGCTCTGTCGCTGTCGCAGCTGCTGGAACTGGTTTTTACTTCGCAAAAAAAGCAAGGCACAGCAAAAAGAGTAAGAAAAGTGATTTGGCAATATACAAAAGACAACGCACAGCTGTACATATGCAAGTGTGTGTGTGAGTGTGTGTGTGTGCGTGCGTGTGAGAGTGCGTGTGCGTGTGCAAAATACGATAGGCCAAACAAAGAAAGACACAGGGCAGACGCTTAAAATTGCAGAACATATGTAAATATGTAAGCAAAGCCTATCCACTCACAAATACCCTGTAAAAAAGTAGTTCACATATTACATACAATATATAATTAAACTTTAATTGTTGCTTTAAAGTTGTACACAATTAATTAATTGATTTTTAATTGAGCTACAATAATGCGAAATTAATGAGTCTTTGCTAATGCACTGATTCGCACATACCACATGCGCTGTGTGCTTGTGTAGGGTATGCTCAAAGCGACGCCCGAAAAAACAAGTTTCTCAAGCAAACGGCAAACAAAAACAGAGACAAAAAAATGACGACAACAACAACACTGATGATGAGATATTGGGTCTCATATAACAGGCAGAGCTTCGCGTTGTTGTTGTTGGTATTTGCGATGTATGTATGTATGTCAATCGGTAAGGGCCAACGGGCAGGCGGGTATAACGGGTGAAACGGGTGTTTACATATAATCTATACGATTTCTGGTACGCTTCCGCAGCTACTGTTTGCTTATTAGTGTGTGTGTGTGTATATAAAAGTGTTAGTATGTTTATGGGTGACTGTGTGTGTGTGTTTGTCATTCCAGCCACTCAGGCAGGACTTGAACCACTTATTTGCGTTTAGATATTGTATCTCAACATGAGCATAACACTTAATTTGACGCCTCGCAATGATAAATGATCGGAGCAGGCAAAGGCTCGAATAACTCGAACGAACAGGTGAATCGCCGTCTATCCGACTCGTTTTGCCTGCTTTGAGGCGATTGATGTCAAGCGCAACATAATGAAAGTTGATTATTTGATTGATTGATTGGTGGACTAACAAATTGTTGGCAATTCGCAAATGGAATCGAATGCTATTCAAATACAAAAACAAAAGTCACACAAGCTTTGACAATTTAGAAACTGATTGATATAACACTTGATTGATACAGTCGCAGGGAAGTTAAGAGCTTTATGTGAATGGCCCAGTCAATTGAATTTCATAAAGTAAATAAATCGATTTTTAAGAGGCTGCCTAATATATTTACACACAAATATTTCCATTCAGATTTTTAAATATTTATTTTATTTGACATCTTGTTTAAGCGGGGCAACTTCATAAACAGCTACACAAAAAATGAACCAACAACTAAGCCAGCCCAAATGTATCTGGTACTTGTATCTGTATCTGTATCTTTTGCCAAACATCTTTCAATGGCGCCCCCTCAACTGTAACTGTGTTGACATTTCGCTCAAAGCAATAAAAGCCCACAAAAGCCAAAGGCAAACAGGAGTTGAGCACTGCTCAGAAATCATGATGATGTTGATGATAGCGATTAATTTACGACCACCACACACACACACACACAACAAAAATGTTAGGATAGTTTGCACTGTGTGCATAGCGAAATGTATCTGAAAACGGGAATGGAAAAGGGAAAAGGGAAATGGGAGTAGCGAGCAAATGTTTGAGCAAATCTGTTGACAAGAGTGAAAACAAAGCTAAAGCAAGCGGAAAGTGTTCGAGTTGCTCGGAATACCATGCAAATACCCTGTAAATGGGAAGAATGTGGATATAAACTGGAATATAACTATTATAAAAGAGAAATGAGGATTGGTAGATGTATTATCGGATTAGAGATTAGACGAAGCCAAGTGTATGTAATATAATATAATATATACGACAAGCATAAATTGTTGAAATTAATATATTATGTTTAATGAACATATATTAGATCAAAGAGGAGAACCAGATTTTATATAATATAGAAAACTGGCATATGGATAGAAAATATAATGACATGATATGCCATAAGGTACTGGAATTTAGTATATAATAGTCTATATACAAGTAGTATATAAGGCCTGTAAGGTACTCAACAACTGAATCACCCCTTATCTGTCTGTATTTCCGGTAAATCTATAGTGAATCACTTTTTAATATACCAAATTTACTGAAAAGTCTAAAGTTCGCTTCAGATTAGAATTAATTTCGAGGAAATTAAAAGAACAGTTTTAAGTGACTTTATATCAGAGATATTCATTGTAAGATTTCGTATCATTAGCAGTTATATGTTACGCAATTGAAGTCTGGCAAATCCCATTTGCAGCGTTTACAGGGTATCAAGACAGAACATAATCCATATTAATGAAATTGAATCTAGTATCTATATCTAGTATCTAATGCCAGCAAATGAATTAAGCTGAGGCCTCAAAGTCTTGGCCTACATCCAGAAATAATAAGTATGACTTTTGGTATACATATTATATATATAGCATACCATTTACGCATCTGTCTAGACAGTATGCATATGAAGTCATGCCAGCCGGAAGATAAATATGAATTTCAATAATTACAATGAGAAACGAAATTAATTTTCAAGTCGAATAATTGGCTTTATTATTTTGGTTTTGTTCAGAAAATGTTCAAACTACAACAAATTAGTAACATAATGAAACGCTTAATTAAAATAACAAGCTTGTCTACGACAACAACAGCAACAACAATAACAGCTGACAGCTGACACGCAACAAGAACAACAACAACAATTATAAAAGTCACTTCAATTTTAGAATAAAAAATTTGTCGAGTTCGTGTTATGATTGATGATGTCGCTAATGTCTCGCTGCGAAGTACTCACAAATATTATTAATAATAAAAACAAAAATTGTTTAGTCGCAAATGTCGGAAAATGTAACGAAAAGCAGGAAATTAACATCATCATTGCGGCCAAAAAAAAAAAAAAAAAGTCAAATGGTTTCCAAAGTCCGCCCGCCCCATAAATCGAAAGCAACAAAGTCATCAAATGAAATGAAACAATCAGTTAGTTACACTGCGAGAAATTTGCGTAATACGCATAGAACTTTTTATGGAAGTGTTTTAGAAAAATTATTAAGTAGGGAAAATATTTATTCATATTTTATATTTATTTAAATATCAGCAAAAGTGGGTGGGGTGGCTGGCTGTAAGGGGACACACATGTTATGCCTTCAGCAATAATATTTATTTAGAAATTTAAAGTTTTCATGAATATGTTAAATCGGATTTTTTATTAGCTGTAAATATAAGCTTTGCTGTAAATATCAAAATTTGGTTAGAGTGGCATGGACCTTAGGTGATATTTCTCTGCCTCCGACTCTCTCTTTCTCTCTCTCTCTCTTTCTCTCTCTCTCTCTATTCTTTTTTGTCTATCTTTTATTCTTTTTCCTTTCTTGCTTCTTGCTTCTAGTTCTCTTTCATTTCACTCTCTATCTCTATCTACCTGTCCATCCATCTATTCGTATCAATACTTAATTTCAACCATAAAATATTCACAGTGTTTTCGGTATTGGATTGTCCGAATGTTTTCAGTTTATGGCATTCTCATTCATTTCACTTCCACTGTGAATTAATATAGTATTTGTGCTGTTTGCAGAAGCCAAAAGCAACAACAACAACAATAATAATAATAACAGCAACAGTAGAAACAATAATAATGCAAGCCAGCCCAGCCACAGTAGAGCTCAAATAATGACCCGGCAGCACGCAATGGCCAAACACCAAGGCAGAAGAAGCAGAATGTTGCGTTCTGTGTGGCTCATCAGTCGGAAATGGGGTGTGGCACAAACAGCTGGCGGCTCGAATTGGCTAGCTCCAATGACTTATCATAAAAGCCATCTATCTATTGGGTAAGCGACAGACAGAAAGACGGACAGACAGGCTGCGAGGGCTTCAACAATTTTTCTTAGCCTACTTATTGGCGTATTGACACGCAATTTGAGCATCTTCTGCACAGACATAAACATTTAATGCGCTCAAATAAATAACAAGTGAAGCTAATCAAATGCACAGCTGATCGACTAGCAGATACGCTGTAAAAGTAAAGAGCAGTTTTGAAAAGGAGATGCAGCTTTTACTTCTCTGCAATATGAAGTAAAGCTGAAAAATACTGCTTCAAAAGGATATAAATTATATGCCAACTCACAGCTCAATTTGTTGCATTACAAGATCAATCAAATGATAGAACTATTTAGTTTGCAATAAGTCAATATCTTTAGGAAAGCATAAAACCGTTTTCCTCCAGTATAAATATAATGAATATTAATATTAACAGCTACACTCTTATGTTTAGAGAACTTTTAGAGATAGATAAAGCTCTTTGATATTTATAGAGCTTTTAAAGATAGTTAGTACATGGACAAAAGCACGTGAAAGCTCTACTACAATCCATCAAAACTGAAAGCATTAATTTAACTTCATTCAAAAGTCTCTAAGTTTTCAAAGATTTTACTAAAAGCTCAAAAGCTGCTCTGAATATATTTTTCATATCTCCAAATTTCTTTAGAATTCTTTGGAAATAAACGCCTAATCAACGCTTACAAGAGAAAATTTGCATACTTCGAGCACTCAAATTTGGATTCTTATAATACTACGTCACAAACTCAAAAAGAATTCCACTTACGTAGACAAAAATTAATTGAGCTAAGCTGTCCAAAATACAAATTCTGCTATAATCTACCTAGAGTCTATAAAGCTTCAATAAACTCATTAAATCATCTAACATATCTTTCATACCAATTGCAAAACTGAATTGTTTTACAATGCATGTCCGCCATTTGCTACTGGGTATCAAGTATACGACCCATTGGGCAATGCAATTGCCCTTTTAATAGCTCTGCTCATAAAGCAAGAGACAAGCTCGTGCGCTTTGTTGTACTCGAGGCTCACGCACGTGTGTAAAAAAGTAAAGAGGAACAGAAGCAGAAAATGAATGCTAAAGCCTTTTTGATTTATGTCGCCGTAGGCAAAAGCAGAAAAAATAAAATATGTAGTGAGCCGTAATATTAATAAATTGAAATGATAACAAGGTCAAAGCTAGACAAAGAGCTTTAAAAGCCGAAACGAAATGAGTTCAGCAGTTAGACAAAGAGCTACAGCCAACTGATGTCCTGCGAATGCCTCACATCCTGCAAATGACAGCGACATGTGTTGGGCCTGCAAACTGAAGGCTGTCCACTCACTTATTGTTGGTCGATTTGATTTTGGCCAAGTCCATCAAGCACATGTGTGCCTCCATAGAGTGCGGTCCTCAAGGAAATGCCTGTCCCACAGATCAAACTGTCTTCCCATTTTGTCTCTCTCTCTCTCTCTCGCTCTCTTTCCCTCCCACTCGCCCTTTTTCTCAGTGTCCATTTCCAAATCAAATCACACCCACACCCATTGCTCTAGCATATAAAAGTAGACCACGTGCTCATCTCGTTATTCGGGCTGCATGTGACTTCATGTCACAAATTATGAGCATCTTTTGCTAGTTTTGTGTTTTGTTTTGTTTTCGTTTTTATTTTYATTTTTATTTTCGGACTACTGGAAAATTTTCGTGTCACGCGCAACTGATTCTTCTTCCTATAGCTATAGCTACTTACATACATCACTTTGCTTTCGGTTTCATCATCCGCACAGCAATAAAATCAATCTGCATACACACATTGACAAAATTCATGTGACTTAAATAACAAATAGTTGACGTGTGCCAGTGTCGGTGCGACTTGAGAAATACCCTAGAATCTGGTGAAGGCAAACCCTTTCAGGTAATTTTTCATGTACTGTTTAGTACAAATTCCAGGAATTATTTATGACTAAAATAAACCAAGATCAGATCCGTCTTTCAAAATAATTTTTAAAATGCTAACTTATTTATATTAAATTGTTGTCGATATGTTAAATTATCGATATTTTATTAACTATTTATTAAAAACATGTTCCTGCAATTTAATCAGATAATATTTCATAGCAAAGCAATAACGATCGATAATTATTATATATATAATTCATATATATTTAAACGATAGGTAAAGCATCAGCAAAATTTTATCGATACTATTGAATAACAAACATTCACTAATCTTCTATGTTCAACTTTTATTTTCTCTATATTCCCATCTTTAGATAAATGATACTATAATAATATCTAATAGGTCTTAGAAAACCATTCGAAAGGAATTATAGCCCAGTCAACATTTTATAGGGTAGGTATAATAAATTTCAAATAAACCACGAACGAAATTCGTTTAATTTTTCAAGCTTTTCGGCTTTATGTAAACAAGTTTTATTGAATTGCGCGAAAAAAAAAACAGACTAGAAAAATAATAAAGAATTTCCTAGTTGAGTTAGCGAAGTGGACTATAGTCAGCCTATATAATATATATAGTCTATGTAGACAAACAATTACTAAGAACTAAATATATGCGAATGAATCTTTGTCACATGTTGCAAGACAAACGTGAAAATTTGAAGCAGACAAAATGGGAAATGGAAAATGGAAAAACAGAAAATGGAAAGGGAACAACAACAAATAAGATTTATGCTTAGAATTTTTTATATGAACAGCGCTTTTTTTGTCGCCCGATGCTAAGTGCCAAATTATCATTAATAAAAATAGCTAAATCGTGCGGAATTTATTTATATTTTATTTTCCACACTCGCTCAGGGCATGAAAAGCGAGTATTTTGGCTTTAGGCAAGCAGCAATTTGGTAATGATCCACTTATTTAAATGAAAGTAAAGTCTCTATTGAAGCTACCGATGGCAAATATGTTGCTTATATAGATAGCTACTATATAGACTATTCCTAATTCGAATAAGCCTATATAAGTACTCCAATTGAATTAATTTAATGAGATTCTCTTCATGGAAGTAAGATAAGTATTATTTCATATTTTTATAAGGAATACTCAGTTAAATATATATTTTCAGCTCAACAGATTTGAAAGATATTTTGAAATATAGAAAACATTGTAGCGAAATACATACAGAAAGCTCGAAGGAGTATTATCCGGTCGGTTGCACTCGACCGCAATTTTCTTCGCTGGTTTTACTTTCGTTTTGTAAATTTGCTTAGAAAAGCAAATTTTTTATATATA